TGTACATTAAGTGCGTCCCCGTGCTCTGGTTACTCTAGGTGTACTGTCTACTGGCATTTGCAACTTACTCTGGGTCGTCCTCGTGGATGGTTCAACAGTGACTCAAGTGCCCCTCCTCCTTTTCTGTGCCGGCGGTGTGATACTCTCTTCCATTTCGACATCATCTCTAACCTCGCCCGTCGCGTTGTCAGTTAACCCAGCGAGGAGGTCTCCCAATCGTGATGTCAGTAATGCACCTTTTTTGGCTGGCTTGGCCGGGCGAGGCTTTGGAATTGAACGTGGGACTGCCGGCCCTCTGGGTGTAGGACCTCCCGTCCTGGGCTTCTTCAGCGGAGGTCTCCCGTCAGCCAGGTCATCATCCACATTATGCTCCGTATGATGAGTGGAACTCTCCTTATCACTCTCGGCTTCTGTCGATGACTCCCGAGGCCTTCGGATGGTAACCCTCTGTTGCCTTCTCACTATACGAGTCTGAGGAGAGGGCGAGTTGCCAGATATGACAGATGGTACCATGTCCCCATCTTCGTTCTTCCATGCTTTGAACAGAAATGTGGGCCCTTCGCCTGTTTCTTGCCGAGCGAGCCAAAACTGGAGCAAGGTAGTAGTGTCCCAAATTTGCAGCTTCGAAGGTTCCTTCAAGTCAACATCCGCCGGAAGATACGTCCGGGCCACGAAGTCATCCTGACTTTGTACAATGGCACTCCATGGCACAACCGCCTTGTCCTTCCCGGAGCATATCCCTTTGTCCATGCATTGAACAATTTGTCAGGTGATGCGACGACAAACTCACGATAGTGCGATGTAAGAAAGGCCCTTACTATGGCCTTCTTCTCCTCAAGTTTGGTGTCGGTGATGTCCGGAAGGAGTGGCATACCCTCCCCATCCATTTCGAGTTCGAAGGCTGGTTTTCGAATTCGTTTTCAACCTCCCTTGACCTGACGTCCTCCATCCCGTGCCCCGGCACCTATCATTGTGATGCTCAAAATGTTCAATCTGGTATACATGGTTCACACACTCACCGAACTGTTCCTGCGCATACTCCTGCCACACTGGCTCAATGTCCTCCCAGTCCTTCGTCTTCATGAAGCTGTCCCCATCTCCTAAGGCCTCATTATCATCATGCCTGCATGAATATTTTGAGACGAAAAATCTCCGTCGATGGATAAATGTACTCACATCCCGAACAGCACCTCGCCCTTTTCATTCTTCCAAGCTGACATCACAAACACTCTCATCCCACATTGCCTCCACATCTCGTTCGAAAAGTGCTCCATATATGCCGGATCCTTCTTACGAGCGACTTGTGCTTGTATCTCCAGAGGCGGACAGTTGTTGGACCACTCTTCGGCTGTTTCTTTAGCCTTCTCCAACTCGTCGTCGTCCAATTCAGCCATGACTCTCTTCACCGCCGCCTGATAATGTTTGAACATACCAGGATCTCCTGGCTTTACCCCGGACTCGTCCTCAATCCTCTTCAGCACCTCTTCGCGTTTTTGCTGGTAGACCACCATCCTGGGCGTCCATTTCCTCCCATACTTGATCATGTCCTTCCTTTCCTTCTTTTTCTTGTTGTTGAACAACCAAGTCTTGTACACCTAAGAGTTGATGAAAGAATGTGACGTTAAAAATTTAGTTTTTCAACACAACAAAGAAGCCTCACCTGCTTCCTCTTTTTCCATTGTTTTTGGTCCAACTTCGGAGCAAACAACCTGGCCACCCTTGCTATGGCAGTGAAAATCGCTTGTCTCTCACTCCTTTTGGCAGCAGTTCACTCAGGAAGGTAGTTCTTCAACTCCAAAATCTCCTTGTCTGTGAGCTTCTGAGACTGTGGGTGACGCATCCTGTGTCTTCCAGAAGTCGTGTTGGTGGAATGACCTGTTCTTGCCATAGTGAATCAGAATGCAGAAATGGCTAAGGATTTTCAAGGTGAAAGTATTAATGAATTGTGCGAAGTTGAACTTTGAGCAAAGCCTAATGATAGGTTAATCGGCCCATATTGGACCCTGAGCCATTAATGGGAATGAATTTGTAATAAGCCAACAGGACTGCACCGCATCATATTGCAATAACAATTCATTACACCTGAGCTGATGCCTTGCTTGCAACATTAATAAACAAGATGAAGATAGGTAGATGCACCCCAGTGCAAAAATCTCACAGGGTGGAAGCAAGGGGCAGCAAAGGTAGGAAGACTTGGGTCAAGGTCCCACTTGCAAGCACGAGGCGACATGCCTACAGGTCCATGCCTAACTCTCCCCCGGAATCACCAACAATTCAGCCTGTTGAGGCACCACCTCCTTGGGAAGACTTTCCTGACAATACTTACGAGCAGGACCAAGGCTCATTTGAGCCTTTGCAACTCCCAAAAACCATGGCAAGTTCATGTACAATGTTGGAGTGTCATTCAAACTATGGCTAAGCATTCAAAATACAGAGTCAAAATGACTACCTCAGGCAATGGCTGCCAAGGCAGGAATCATATCTACATCACCTCCTCGATCGAGAAGCTCCACCCGAAGACAGGAGATGCATCATCTGCCAACAGGATGGGGTGTACAAATGTCAAGATTGTCTTGGTGAGCCACTTTATTGCACGGGCTGTTGCAGGAGTCAACATCGTAGCAATCCTTTCCACTGGATCAGTCAATGGAATGGGCAATTCTTCGAGCGGAGTTGTCTAGCTCATGTGGGACTCATTATATACCTTGGCCATGATGGCAAACAATGTCCGGCGGTCACCGATCGGTGGAATTTGTTTGAAGAAGATGAACCCGAAGACCTGCTCGAGCCTGAAGATCTGCCATTTGTGTCCGGACCCGAGTTCCCGCCAAAGGAAAACACCATGGTCATCGTGGACAAGTCCAGAGTTCATCGCCTGGAGGTTCGATGCTGTGAATGTCCGAATGCCATGAGTCTGGACATTCAAATGTTTCGACACAGATTTTTCCCTGCATCTTTTAACAGGCCAAAGACTGTGTTCACCTTCAGAGTGCTCAATGATTTTCTACTGGACAGCCTTGAATGCGGCACCTCGGCGATGAACTATTACAGCAAGCTCCAGCGAATGACCTCCAGCATGTTTCCACACCTTGTTCCAGTAATGCCTTACCCTCATGATCTACTGGACATCATATTGACAAAGCACATTGCAAGGACAGATACAGAGAGCTCATGAGGGTTGCTCGACAGTGGAGGCAGTTGAAGACAATGAAATGGCATGGCTTTGGCCATCGTTCTGATAACCCGAGCACAGGAGAACTTGCATTATTTTGCCCGGCATGTCCTCAGCCTGGGATTAATGTGCTGTTGTCAGAGGATGAATCTCTTGATGAGTGAGTCCTATTCTCAACCTATGTGGCCTCCATAATAATACTAGGGATCCAAGCTGGAAATACACCCGGTCATTTGTGATGGACGGAAATTTCAAAGCCGAACATCTGCATCCCATTAAGCCATTCGATGAAGTTTGGCTGTCCGATGGGCTTGGATTCATGGTAGGAAAGGACAGGTATAAAATGCATCTGGCAGAGGCTGCTGACACAGTGGAAAAATCAAGCTGCAACAATCACCGGGCAGTAAATCAAGCTAATGCTGCTCGGCACAAGCTGGAGTCCACCGGTATCGGGGGAGTTGCCTGTGCCAGACATGGTTGCTTTGTCCCTCACTCCATGGTGGATTTTCAGAAAGGCGAAAGGCAAGCCACATCCACCATTCCCCATTCACAAGTTAACCATGGGTCACTTGCAGACAAATGAACATGGACTATGCCCTTTGCGAGGCTTCCCGGCACAACATGGAAGGCATCACCAGGGCTGTCACCTTCTATGATATTAATTGTCAATACAACAAACACTTTCAGGTTCGGGTGGATCGAAGTTGATTTCTAGAAATGGCACCACAACTAACCATCATTCCCGGAATTGGGTTATGGCACGTTCATGGCCATCAGGACAGCTGCTATGTCCGATATGCTTCTAACTTTATTGAAGGCATTGGTCAGATCAATGGAGAGATCATGGAGACGCTATGGGCACGGCTCAATTTGATCTCCCCTGCTGCTCGGGGAATGTCATCTCCCCACCGAAAGGAATGCCTTGATTATCAGATGAATGACTCCAATTTCTGCAAGATGATTCGCATGAAAAGGACTCTATGCCGGAAATACAAACTGGCTAGGAATGGTATCTTAGAAAGTGGAAAGGCATTCGACAGACTCGATGAAGCAGCACCCTTACATTTGAAGACAGAATGGTTAGCCAGGGAGAGGATAGCTCAGTCAAGCAGATTGAATGATCCTTCAGCCATGGATGAATATGAGATCAATATCAAAAAGGGTACATTGAGTTCCATTGTCTCCGTCGAGGTCTGAATTAATATTGCACTCAGCACCTAGCAAGAAGGAGATCGAGCTTAGATTGTTAGAGGAGGGTAATGCCCGCAATGCAGCACCCTCTCGGAGATCTGTGGCGACATGGATATCAACAGGGTTAGCAATTGAAGAGGCTCAGATTGCATTGCTCATCGAGGTCCGAAGGATCGGAAGAAGATCCACCGAGACACAGAGATTAGACATCGCCCATCAAAGAGATCAGCTCCAAGGCCAGATAGATGGATTTGCTCGGTCTGCTCTAACACATCTCGGGGAGGGATTTGATGCAGATGATGAACCTGAAGACTTGGACGTAGACATTCTAGATGATCTCGATGATGACCCGGCGGATTTCACAGAGACATCTCACACATGGACAAACTCTCCCGAGCTAACTGTAATCCCATTGCCATCAAACCTGAGGGTTGATAGATGCAGACGATGCATGGCAGAGGATCTGATTCCCCTGGAGATGTCGCTTCATGAAGGGCAGGCCAATGATGGCCTTCACAATCTCCGCATTTACCTTTGCAACAAGGCCATCCTGTTCTGAACAACCGTTAGGCAGGCCAATTCCCAGGCCCTGAAAACTCGAGCTTGGTCCCAGGTGACGTCGGTGCAGCAGGCAGTCTCCCTCCATGCCAGCATATATACAAAGACAAGGAAGCAAATGATGAAACTTGAGCCGGGGCAAGACCAGCTTCAGAAATACAAACCCCTGCTTCGCAAGCAACTCAAAATCAGCACTGCAGTGGGCGACCCAAATGCCCGAGGTCAACGAAATGAATCTTTGGCTTGGTTTTGGTCTGTTGAAGTTGACCTCAGGGGTCCTGATCAATCGTGGAATGAAGAATGTGAGTTCCCGCTTGCATGTCATATCCTGCGGTTACCTGACTGGACCCATGCCAAGTTTACCGAGTCCATTGGCTGAGGGCAAAGGCACTACGGGATCGATGGAGGGAAGAAATGCTATTGGTCACATTGGAGATGGATTGGACATGTAAGTTCTTTTTGTGGAAAACAACGATATGGGGCGAGCACATGCAGGAATCATTGGAGAAACGACTTCCAGGTCACGGATGCTACGCTGGAAGGCAATCCCACATGTATTCATTGCTGGCACAGGATGCGCAGGCAGCTTTTCAAGACCTACAAAACGTGTTGATAGAGGCTGGAGATGAATGAACATTGTTTTCTCATGAAGTCCCTTTTTCCACATACATAATTGACGCCTGGGAATTGTCTGGGTCAGCCCATGTCGGAGTTTTAATTTCATATCCATCCATCAGTGATTCTTATCTTCACATCTTGACCATCTTTCACTTGTATTGCCAGCGCCATAGTCCTGTATTAGCCATGTCTGCATCTCATGCATCCACTTCTGGCACTCTGAATCCCGGAAGCCATTACCGACCTCTGAAACTGAGCCTTGCAACTATTTCCTGCACATTGGCAATGGCTGGATCGTGCATCCGTGCAATCATCTCTCAATATCGGACGGAAGCTGCCAACAATGGTCTATCTGCTGACCGGATCAAGTATTTTAAAGCCGGGCTGCAATGGGAGATGAATGTATGTTACCACTGCCCTGATGACTTTGTTGGTCAATGCTAAGAATTTGAGCAGACATTTGTCACACCACTCCTGCAGTACTCCGCTTCACAGAATATCATGTCGGTTCTTCCGGTCCCTGTCGCTTATATCCTTAAGTTGTATCCCATGCTGACCTGGAACACGGTTCCGGACGACGTCTTTTCATTCCACCTCCTTTCATTTCATGATGAGCCAATTGCAGGACATCCGTCCCGGATTGTGTTCGCATATACATGTCCATGGTGGAGGGGAAACAACTGGATCCCTGATCAACCATGGCAGTGGGATGAAATAATGGCTTCCTGCATCTCTCACTACCAGTATTGGGCGGTAAGATGTCAGCTGAATTACCTTGATTGATGACTTATCTGTTTCAGCTTAATGTTGAGGATGATGCTTTGGTACTTCCAGAGAAGTTGAAAAACACTTCAACTCCACCACTCATGGGACTGAGATTCATCAAAGAACGCATGGAAGCATTGCTGGAGGAGCAAGATCAGGGCATCGAAGCTAAGATGGGAGAGGTGAAGATGTACACTGACATGTTAGAGAAATTGAGGAAAGGCAAAGGAGTGTAGTCCCATTCACTCTTCATTGTATACAAGATGTAACATATTCTATGCATTCAAAAATCTCACATTCGAGTCCCAGACACCCAGGTCCCGAGTCCCGAATTTTGGAGGTCGGGGTTCGGAGACCCGGAGCTCGGCAACTGTGTTTGGTGTCAGGGTATCCAGACCATTGGAGATAGCATGTGTCAGTATTTTGCGTTTCATGGTTTATGTTGGGTGAATATGGAATCGGGGATCAGGGACTCGGTATTCAGAACAGTGTCAAGTCCCAGGTCACGAGCTCCGAGTCCCGAGTGCCGAACCCCGAGTCCCAAGTCCCGAATTTCGGAGGTCGGGGTTCGGCAACCCGGAGCTCGGCAACTGCTGGGTGTGGGTTTCGGGACTCGGGACTCGGAGCTCATGACCTGGGACTCAACACTGTTCTGAATACCGAGTCCCTGACACCTGATTCCATAATCACGAAACATAAACCATGAAACTTAAAATACTGACAAATGCTATCTTACTGCCATATCAGGAGATCACCTGCTGCTCCGGGAGCTCGGTAACTGTGATTTATTACCTCCTCTGAGTAAGGTTGACTCGCTGGTCATCAGATATTCATTTGTCGACTCCCGGGTCCCGGAACTCGGAGGTCGGTTACGGTTGACCCATATTTGGGTGGTCGGAATTTGGAGTCTCATAGGGCAACACAAGCTTCGCACAGCCATGTCAGGAGATCACCTGCTGCTCCGGGAACTCGGTAACTTTGATTTATTACCTCCTCTGAGTACGGTTGACTCACATTTTGGTGGTCGGAACTTGGCTTCTCATAGGGCAACACAAGCTTCGCACCCCGGATTCCACATTCTGCAAGACAACCTAAGCACCATCAGAGGCCATGTTAAGAGAGCACCTGCTGCTCTCTTCAGAAACATCTCAACTTCGGTTGGCCATTTAACACGGAAAGTATTAACTAAATTATGTGTTGAGTTCCGGGTCCCGGAACTCGGTACAGTTGACTCCAATTCTGGTGGTCTGAACTTGGCTTCTCGTAGGGCAACACAAGCTTCACACCCTGGATTCCACATTCTGCAAGACAACCTGTGCACCATCAAAAAGTATTAACCAACTTATGTGGTGAGTTCCGGTGTAGAAACAACAATACTGAGAGGAACAAAGAAATGCTCCTGACTGTATCTAAAAAGTTGTAGGTCGTGCGTTGCCTAGTCTGCGATACTTGAGATGGCAAGTGCATTCGACCCTAAAGGGGAAGCAGGTGCAGCGGAGATCTAGAGGTACGCGCTTCAGCGAAGCGCGAGAAAGCGCAGGTGCGCGCAAGGTACGAAGGTGCGGGAACGCGCGCGCGTATTAGCGCGAAGCGCGGGAAAGCGCGCGCGTGTAAGCGGAAATAAGAGAGACTAAACTTATGTGAAGATATAAGCAAGATAAAGGATGTGAGATGTGTTGTGCTAATGAATAGATTTCTACTGCGACTTTCTAAGTAGTAAGTACTAGGTAAAGTTGGGTGAAAAGTTTCCCGTAATAGTATGTACTGCTGGCGCTTATATAGCGCGCCTAAGCGCGGTCATGCGGAGCCGAAGCGCTACTGAGTAGGTATGTAAGGATATATATGGGTGAGAGTCCATGATAAAAATAAAGGTGGAACACTATGCTAATAAAGGAAATGGAAATATACGCACTAGGGAGCTTGGTGGACAGTGGATGGATGCATCTGGATGGCTGGCGCTATAGGGCGCGCAAGCGCAGGAACGCGCGCGCGCGTATACATCACGAAGCGCGGGAATGATGCGTGCATGGCGCGCATTGCGCGGGAAAGCTGCGCCTCATATAGGAATCGCTGTGGACAGTACACAGAGTGGTGCTGCGAGTTGGTGCTGTATACTCCCTAGTGGAAACTGCCATATCACGCCATGAGAGGCATGATTCTCTACACCGGGTCCCGGAACTCGGAACTCGGTACAGTTGACTCAAATTCTGGTGGCCGGAACTTGACGTCTCGTTGGGCAACACAAGCTTCACACTGCCATGTCAGGAGATCACCTGATGCTCCGGGAACTTGGTAACTTTGATTTATTACCTCCTCTGATTTGGTTGATGTACAACTACCTCAGCTCCATCATGTCTACAATTATGATACACATGGGCCCACCCATCTATATTGTATACCACCCTCAGCCCACCCGTCTAATACAACATCCCATACAACACCCTCGGCCCACCGGTCTAATTAATATGCGTCTGGGCCCACCCGTATAATACAATATTTTATAATACCCTCGGCCCACCCGTCTAATTTAATATGTGTCTGGGCCCACCCGTGAATGTGATAACAAGTACCTACCCATCTATCTCATACACATCTACCTTAATACACCCATCTGCATAATATCCAGCTACCTCGGCCCACCCGTCTACCTAATATTCATTTACATCGGCCCACTCATCTACTCTATATATTCCCTGCATGGGCCCACCCGCCTCCATCGGGAATAATTTGCCTCCCGGCCCATCCGTCATAGTCGAGAATATTTTTATCATGGGCCCATGGTCCGCTGGCCCGTATCATACGGGATATTATGCACGTCCATTCCCTCGTATTATACGGAGATAGGTCACTGTAGTATGTGGAATGATGGGGTATGGGCCGAGTCGACGATGATCAAGTTTCAGGGATGGGCGCGTAGTCCGGATGTTGCGACGCAACAACCAGACTAGTTGGCCAGGTTGAAACTCTGGAGCCTTGGCGACCTTCTTGTTGTAATGTCTGGCTTGGGTGTCTTGCACGTGCTGCAATTCCGCGTGCAACTCTTCGTGGATCACATCGAGTCGCACAGCAAGGTTGGCAGCCACGGGAACGGATGACCGTTCAGTAACCTGTGGTTTGAAAGAGGGACGGTAAGCATAGTTAGCAAAAAAGGGTGTTTGACGCGTGGAAGAGTTCTCGAGGTTGTTGAACGCGAATTCGGCGAGAGGGAGGTAGTCCACCCAATCGTCCTGCTGATACGAACAGTAGGCACGGAGATAGGTCTCCAGCATCTGATTTGTATGCTCTGTCAGACTGTCAGTCTGGGGGTGATAAGCTGTGGACGTGCGAGTATCAATCTTCAGCAACGACGTAAGCTCAGACCAAAACTTAGAGATAAAGATGGAACCACGGTCAGAGACAATAGAGTCTGGGAGGCCGTTGTAGGGATTCATTTCTGGTTGGGCTTGTAGAGACTGTTTTTACCTTACCTTATGTTGGCACTTTTGTAGCTTACATAATCAATCAATCTTTTCACCAGTTACCAGTATGAGTCTGAGTGCTCAGTAGTTTTCATGATATTTCCTCTACTCTGAGCCTTGAGCCTGGTCCAGAAACCCTTTAGGGTCGAATAGCAGCTAGGTTCTGCAAGACCCAACACATTGTTCAGACTCACCATCAGAATTGTTATACCTTCACCGTGTATATGAAAGATACAATCTAAAAACAACCAAGCTAGGTCAGGAGCCATTAGTGTCTCTTTGCATGGAATGAAGTGCATGTATCGCGTCAGCTGGTCGCAAACGACCCATATTGAATCATAGTTGTGTGATGCAGGGAGTTTGACGATAAAGTCCATGGACAAGAGGGAACATCGAGGGGTTGGAGTAAGCCGTAAGGCTTGTGGCGAGGTGTCTTGATGCGTGCACAGGTGTCGCAAGCCTCTACGTAGCGTCTGACAAAGGTTTGCATGCCAGGCCACAAGTAGTCTCGCGCGACAAGTCCGAACGTCCGATTGTGTCCTGGGTGACCTGCTATGACAGCGTCGTGTCGAGAGAATAAGGTGTTAGTGCATAAGGGGGAAGGGACGAAGAGTTTCCCTTTGTGGAATACTAGACCGTTCTCAGAGACGAAGTCCGTGTTGCCATGTGTGAGTGCTGCTCTCCACTCTGTATCCTCTCGGAACGCCGTTTTGAAGCACTCGAGGAGTTCTGCATTGTCGATAGAGAGTGTGGTCATGATAGCACTTAGTGTGGTGGGGGATAGTGCCTCTG